TAGTGGCGTCGCCGTAGACGACAATTAACGCACAATGCCCTCTCCCTCGTCATGGCAGGGTCACAAAGTTCCCCCTGGATTTCCCCGATCGCTGGACGGACGAGCGTCGACATTGTATACCTCCTTTTAGCCGGCACCTTTAAGAAGGTCCGCGTTTCGGGGACCCCAGGCGCCGGTCCGATTAGTGGCGTCGCCGTAGACGACAATTAACGCACAATGCCCTCTCCCTCGTCATGGCAGGGTCACAAAGTTCCCCCTGGATTTCCCCGATCGCTGGACGGACGAGCGTCGACATTGTATACCTCCTTTTAGCCGGCACCTTTAAGAAGGTCCGCGTTTCGGGGACCCCAGGCGCCGAGCCGATTAGTGGCGTCGCCGTAGACGACAATTAACGCACAATGCCCTCTCCCTCGTCATGGCAGGGTCACAAAGTTCCCCCTGGATTTCCCCGATCGCTGGACGGACGAGCGTCGACATTGTATACCTCCTTTTAGCCGGCACCTTTAAGAAGGTCCGCGTTTCGGGGACCCCAGGCGCCGGTCCGATTAGTGGCGTCGCCGTAGACGACAATTAACGCACAATGCCCTCTCCCTCGTCATGGCAGGGTCACAAAGTTCCCCCTGGATTTCCCCGATCGCTGGACGGACGAGCGTCGACATTGTATACCTCCTTTTAGCCGGCACCTTTAAGAAGGTCCGCGTTTCGGGGAACCCGAGGCGCCGGTCCGATTAGTGGCGTCGCCGTAGACGACAATTAACGCACAATGCCCTCTCCCTCGTCATGGCAGGGTCACAAAGTTCCCCCTGGATTTCCCCGATCGCTGGACGGACGAGCGTCGACATTGTATACCTCCTTTTAGCCGGCACCTTTAAGAAGGTCCGCGTTTCGGGGAACCCCAGGCGCCGGTCCGATTAGTGGCGTCGCCGTAGACGACAATTAACGCACAATGCCCTCTCCCTCGTCATGGCAGGGTCACAAAGTTCCCCCTGGATTTCCCCGATCGCTGGACGGACGAGCGTCGACATTGTATACCTCCTTTTAGCCGGCACCTTTAAGAAGGTCCGCGTTTCGGGGACCCCAGGCGCCGGTCCGATTAGTGGCGTCGCCGTAGACGACAATGAACGCACAATGCCCTCTCCCTCGTCATGGCAGGGTCACAAAGCTCCCCCTGGATTTCCCCGATCGCTGGACGGACGAGCGTCGACATTGTATACCTCCTTTTAGCCGGCACCTTTAAGAAGGTCCGCGTTTCGGGGAACCCGAGGCGCCGGTCCGATTAGTGGCGTCGCCGTAGACGACAATTAACGCACAATGCCCTCTCCCTCGTCATGGCAGGGTCACAAAGTTCCCCCTGGATTTCCCCGATCGCTGGACGGACGAGCGTCGACATTGTATACCTCCTTTTAGCCGGCACCTTTAAGAAGGTCCGCGTTTCGGGGACCCCAGGCGCCGAGCCGATTAGTGGCGTCGCCGTAGACGACAATTAACGCACAATGCCCTCTCCCTCGTCATGGCAGGGTCACAAAGTTCCCCCTGGATTTCCCCGATCGCTGGACGGACGAGCGTCGACATTGTATACCTCCTTTTAGCCGGCACCTTTAAGAAGGTCCGCGTTTCGGGGAACCCGAGGCGCCGGTCCGATTAGTGGCGTCGCCGTAGACGACAATTAACGCACAATGCCCTCTCCCTCGTCATGGCAGGGTCACAAAGTTCCCCCTGGATTTCCCCGATCGCTGGACGGACGAGCGTCGACATTGTATACCTCCTTTTAGCCGGCACCTTTAAGAAGGTCCGCGTTTCGGGGAACCCGAGGCGCCGAGCCGATTAGTGGCGTCGCCGTAGACGACAATTAACGCACAATGCCCTCTCCCTCGTCATGGCAGGGTCACAAAGTTCCCCCTGGATTTCCCCGATCGCTGGACGGACGAGCGTCGACATTGTATACCTCCTTTTAGCCGGCACCTTTAAGAAGGTCCGCGTTTCGGGGAACCCGAGGCGCCGGTCCGATTAGTGGCGTCGCCGTAGACGACAATTAACGCACAATGCCCTCTCCCTCGTCATGGCAGGGTCACAAAGTTCCCCCTGGATTTCCCCGATCGCTGGACGGACGAGCGTCGACATTGTATACCTCCTTTTAGCCGGCACCTTTAAGAAGGTCCGCGTTTCGGGGACCCCAGGCGCCGAGCCGATTAGTGGCGTCGCCGTAGACGACAATTAACGCACAATGCCCTCTCCCTCGTCATGGCAGGGTCACAAAGTTCCCCCTGGATTTCCCCGATCGCTGGACGGACGAGCGTCGACATTGTATACCTCCTTTTAGCCGGCACCTTTAAGAAGGTCCGCGTTTCGGGGAACCCGAGGCGCCGGTCCGATTAGTGGCGTCGCCGTAGACGACAATTAACGCACAATGCCCTCTCCCTCGTCATGGCAGGGTCACAAAGTTCCCCCTGGATTTCCCCGATCGCTGGACGGACGAGCGTCGACATTGTATACCTCCTTTTAGCCGGCACCTTTAAGAAGGTCCGCGTTTCGGGGAACCCGAGGCGCCGGTCCGATTAGTGGCGTCGCCGTAGACGACAATTAACGCACAATGCCCTCTCCCTCGTCATGGCAGGGTCACAAAGTTCCCCCTGGATTTCCCCGATCGCTGGACGGACGAGCGTCGACATTGTATACCTCCTTTTAGCCGGCACCTTTAAGAAGGTCCGCGTTTCGGGGAACCCGAGGCGCCGAGCCGATTAGTGGCGTCGCCGTAGACGACAATTAACGCACAATGCCCTCTCCCTCGTCATGGCAGGGTCACAAAGTTCCCCCTGGATTTCCCCGATCGCTGGACGGACGAGCGTCGACATTGTATACCTCCTTTTAGCCGGCACCTTTAAGAAGGTCCGCGTTTCGGGGAACCCGAGGCGCCGGTCCGATTAGTGGCGTCGCCGTAGACGACAATTAACGCACAATGCCCTCTCCCTCGTCATGGCAGGGTCACAAAGTTCCCCCTGGATTTCCCCGATCGCTGGACGGACGAGCGTCGACATTGTATACCTCCTTTTAGCCGGCACCTTTAAGAAGGTCCGCGTTTCGGGGACCCCAGGCGCCGAGCCGATTAGTGGCGTCGCCGTAGACGACAATTAACGCACAATGCCCTCTCCCTCGTCATGGCAGGGTCACAAAGTTCCCCCTGGATTTCCCCGATCGCTGGACGGACGAGCGTCGACATTGTATACCTCCTTTTAGCCGGCACCTTTAAGAAGGTCCGCGTTTCGGGGACCCCAGGCGCCGGTCCGATTAGTGGCGTCGCCGTAGACGACAATTAACGCACAATGCCCTCTCCCTCGTCATGGCAGGGTCACAAAGTTCCCCCTGGATTTCCCCGATCGCTGGACGGACGAGCGTCGACATTGTATACCTCCTTTTAGCCGGCACCTTTAAGAAGGTCCGCGTTTCGGGGACCCCAGGCGCCGGTCCGATTAGTGGCGTCGCCGTAGACGACAATTAACGCACAATGCCCTCTCCCTCGTCATGGCAGGGTCACAAAGTTCCCCCTGGATTTCCCCGATCGCTGGACGGACGAGCGTCGACATTGTATACCTCCTTTTAGCCGGCACCTTTAAGAAGGTCCGCGTTTCGGGGAACCCGAGGCGCCGGTCCGATTAGTGGCGTCGCCGTAGACGACAATTAACGCACAATGCCCTCTCCCTCGTCATGGCAGGGTCACAAAGTTCCCCCTGGATTTCCCCGATCGCTGGACGGACGAGCGTCGACATTGTATACCTCCTTTTAGCCGGCACCTTTAAGAAGGTCCGCGTTTCGGGGAACCCCAGGCGCCGGTCCGATTAGTGGCGTCGCCGTAGACGACAATTAACGCACAATGCCCTCTCCCTCGTCATGGCAGGGTCACAAAGTTCCCCCTGGATTTCCCCGATCGCTGGACGGACGAGCGTCGACATTGTATACCTCCTTTTAGCCGGCACCTTTAAGAAGGTCCGCGTTTCGGGGACCCCAGGCGCCGGTCCGATTAGTGGCGTCGCCGTAGACGACAATGAACGCACAATGCCCTCTCCCTCGTCATGGCAGGGTCACAAAGCTCCCCCTGGATTTCCCCGATCGCTGGACGGACGAGCGTCGACATTGTATACCTCCTTTTAGCCGGCACCTTTAAGAAGGTCCGCGTTTCGGGGACCCCAGGCGCCGAGCCGATTAGTGGCATCCCCAACTTCCCCTGCTTTTGTCCCGCGAAACGTGCTTAGGAGGGCTGAGAATTGCATCCCAGGGTCGGCCAAAAGTCAGCGGCCTTACAGACGCCAATCTCTGAAAGAAGTGAATCCGGCTAATAAACAGGGATAATTCAAAAGCTTCCATTTCCTCCATTGTCTGCTCGAGACATTTCGAATATGATGAGATTAATGAGATTAAGCCGACAAAAAGGCCTCTTTAAAAGAGGAGAACTTGGCCAATGTTGCCAATCAGGGGAATGGCTGCTACCAGCCACAAAAAACAGTCCGCCGATCATGGAAGTATATTCCATTTGTTGACCTTATCTTACTTTTAAAGATATAACCGACTCTACTCCCTATCAGGTTCATTTAATCCTTTGGTGGTGAAAAGCAAAATTCAAGGTTGATCATGATTAGCCGAACCGCCCTAACATTCCGCGAAGAAATTTAGCCTTCAATTCCAAATTTCAGACTCGGAAGCCACCTTTTGAAACTATACCTGTCCACTCTGGTCCAGAGCTAACACGAGCCTCTCAATCTGCACGGATTTCATCTTGAACATAACAATTTTTGTGATCAAAACAACTTGTGTAGAAACACGAGATCGGCAGCGCGAAGCAACTACTCCTGCGGTACTCATTGCTCATGGCCTCACATTTTCTGCGAACAACGCTTTCCATACTTCATTGATTTCCGGAGAACAAATTCAGGTTCCATACGTTTTGAACGCCCCTCGTATGCATCAGCACTAGCTGCCAAGAAGCGCTTTGGAGCCGGAGTACTCACCGGTGTCCAGGCACGTGGTTGGGGACAGACAGACGTCGTCGAAGCCTAGCCGTCAGCACGCCAGGCTGCGTTTACAGAACACATTAGGTAAAGTGTCACCACTAGGCGCCATGAAGTGCTCTGGAAAAAAGGATGAGCCCGAGCACTCACAAGCGGCTAGGCACAGGGTTGGGTTGCTCGACAACCATTATGACAGATTCACAGATGGAACCTGTCATAATGGTTGTCGTCGGCTTTCCTTACAACTGCTAGGAAGCACTTTGCTGGCAAGGCGTGCGCTGCTTTAGATCTCTCTGCGGGGTTGCACAAAGTTTTCGTTTCTACTTCTTTTCTCGGGTTCCTACAGGTGCGTAAAACAAATTTTTTTATCTATGCGCATTCGACATTTGGCTGCCAAAAACTTTCTGCAAGACGTTTTCGTTTCACAGCTGGAACCTGTCATTAAAGTTGTCATCGGCTGTCTTTACAACTCCTCTGAAGCGCAATACAGTCAAAGCGTGTGCCACTTTAGATCTCTCTGTGGCGTTGAACAAAGTTTTCGTTTGTACTTCTTTTCTCGGGTTCCTACCAGTGCGTAAAGCAAATTTTTTGACCTGTACGGCTTAAAAATTTGGCTGGAAAAACTTTCTGCAAGACGTCTTCGTTTCACAGCTGGAACCTGTCATAAAGGTTATCATCGGATGTCTTTACAACTGCTCGGAAGCGCTTTGCTGTCAAGGCGTGCGCCACATAAGATCTCTCTGTGGGGTTGCACAAAGTTTTCGTTTGTAACTTCTTTTCTCGGGTTCCTACCGGTACGTAAAACAATTTTTTTTATCTATGCAGGTTCCATTTGGCTGCAAAAACTATCTGCAAGACATTTTCGTTTCACAGCTGGAACCTCTCATTAAAGTTGTCATCGGATCTCTTTACAACTCCTCTGAAGCGCTATACTGTCAAGGCATGTGCCACTTTAGATCTCTCTGTGGGGTTGCACAAAGTTTTCGTTTGTACTTCTTTTCTTGGGTTCCTACCGGTGCGTAAAACAAACTTTTTTGATCTGTGTGCCTTCAACATTTGGCTGCCAAAAACTTTCTGCAAGGCGTTTTCGTTTCACAGCTGGAACCTCTCATTAAGGTTGTCATCGGCAGTCTTTACAACTGCTAAGAAGCGATTTGCTGTCAAGGCGTGTGCCACATCAGATCCCTCCGTGTGGTTGCACAAAGTTTTCGTTTGTTAATTCTTTTCTCGGGTTCCTACCGGTGCGTAAAACAAATTTTTCGATCTGTGCGGCTTCAACATTTGGCTCGGAAAAACTTTCTACAAGACGTTTTAGTTTCACAGCTGGAACCTGTCATTAAGGTTGTCATTAATTGGCTGTCTTTACAACTGCTCGGAAGCGCTTTGCTGTCAAAGCGTGTGCCACATCAGATCCGTCCGTGGGGTTGCACAAACTTTTCGTTTGTACTTCTTTTCTCGGGTTCCTATTGGTGCGTAAAACAAATTTTTTGATCTGTGTGCCTTCAACATTTGGCTGGCAAAAACTTTCTGCACGACGTTTTAGTTACACAGCTGGAACCTGTCATTAAGGTTGTCATTCGCTGTCTTTACAACTGCTCGGAAGCGCTTTGCTGTCAAGGCGTGTGCCACATCAGATCCCTCGGTGGGGTTGCACAAACTTTTCGTTTGTACTTCTTTTCTCGGGTTCCTACTGGTGCGTAAAACAAATTTTTTGATCTGTGCGGCTTCAACATTTGGCTCGGAAAAAACTTTCTACACGACGTTTTCTTTTCACAGCTGGAACCTGTCATTAAGGTTGTCATTCGCTGTCTTAACAACTGCTCGGAAGCGCTTTGCTGTCAAGGCGTGTGCCACATCAGATCCCTCCGTGGGGTTGCACAAACTTTTCGTTTGTGCTTCTTTTCTTGGGTTCCTACCGGTGCCTAAAACAAATTTTTTGATCTGTGCGGCTTCAACATTTGGCTGGCAAAAACTTTCTGCAAGACGTTTTAGTTACACAGCTGGAACCTGTCATTAAGGTTGTCATTCGCTGTCTTTACAACTGCTCGGAAGAACTTTGCTGCCAAGGCGTGTGCCACATCAGATCCCTCGGTGGGGTTGCACAAACTTTTCGTTTGTACTTCTTTTCTCGGGTTCCTACTGGTGCGTAAAACAAATTTTTTGATCTGTGCGGCTTCAACATTTGGCTCGGAAAAAACTTTCTACACGACGTTTTCTTTTCACAGCTGGAACCTGTCATTAAGGTTGTCATTCGCCGTCTTAACAACTGCTCGGAAGCGCTTTGCTGTCAAGGCGTGTGCCACATCAGATCCCTCCGTGGGGTTGCACAAAGTTTTCGTTTGTACTTCTTTTCTCGGGTTCCTACCGGTGCGTAAAACAAATTTTTTGATCTGTGCGGCTTCAACATTTGGCTGGCAAAAACTTTCTGCAAGACGTTTTAGTTACACAGCTGGAACCTGTCATTAAGGTTGTCATTCGCTGTCTTTACAACTGCTCGGAAGAACTTTGCTGCCAAGGCGTGTGCCACATCAGATCCCTCCGTGGGGTTGCACAAACTTTTCGTTTGCACTTCTTTTCTCGGGTTCCTATTGGTGCGTAAAACAAATTTTTTGATCTGTGTGCCTTCAACATTTGGCTGGCAAAAACTTTCTGCAAGACGTTTTAGTTACACAGCTGGAACCTGTCATTAAGGTTGTCATTCGCTGTCTTTACAACTGCTCGGAAGAACTTTGCTGTCAAGGCGTGTGCCACATCAGATCCCTCCGTGGGGTTGCACAAAGTTTCCGTTTGTACTTCTTTTCTCGGGTTCCTACCTGTGCGTAAAACAAATTTTTTGATCTCTGCGGCTTCAACATTTGGCTGGCAAAAACTTTCAAGACGTTTTCGTTACAAAGCTGGAACCTGTCATTAAGGTTGTCATTCGCTGTCGTTACAACTGCTCGGAAGCGCTTTGCTGTCAAGGCGTGTGCCACATCAAATCCCTCCGTGGGGTTGCACAAAGTTTTCGTTTGTACTTCTTTTCTCGGGTTCCAACAGGTGCGTAAAACAAATTTTTTTATCTGTGCGGCTTCAACATTTGGCTTGGAAAAAATTTCTGCAAGACGATTTCGTTACACAGCTGGAACCTGTCATTAAGGTTGTCATTCGCCGTCTTTACAACCGCTCGGAAGCGCTTTGCTGTCAAGGCGTGTGCCACATCAGATCCCTCCGTGGGGTTGCACAAAGTTCTCGTTTGTACTTCTTTTCTCGGGTTCCTACCGGTGCGTAAAACAAATTTTTTGATCTGTGCGGCTTCAACATTTGGCTGGCAAAAACTTTCTACAAGACGTTTTCGTTACACAGCTGGAACCTGTCATTAAGGTTGTCATTCGCTGTCTTTACAGCTGCTCGGAAGCGCTTTGCTGTCAAGGCGTGTGCCACATCAGATCCCTCCGTGGGGTTGCACAAACTTTTCGTTTGTACTTCTTTTCTCGGGTTCCTACAGGTGCGTAAAACAAATTTTTTGATCTGTGCGGCTTCAACATTTGGCTGGCAAAAACTTTCTGCAAGACGTTTTCGTTTCACAGCTGGAACCTGTCATTAAGGTTGTCATTCGCTGCCTTTACAACTGCTCGGAAGCGCTTTGCTGTCAAGGCGTGTGTCACATCAGATCCCTCCGTGGGGTTGCACAAAGTTTTCGTTTGTTACTTCGTTTCTCGGGTTCCTACCGATGCGTAAAAAAAATTTTTTTATCTGTGCGGCTTCAACATTTGGCCGCCAAAAACTTTCTGCAAGACGTTTTCGTTTCACAGCTGGAGCCTGTCATTAAAGTTGTCATCGGCTGTCTTTACAACTCCTCTGAAGCGCTATACTGTCAAGGCGGGTGCCACTTTAGATCTCTCTGTTGGGTTGCACAAAGTTTTTGCTTGTACTTCTTTTCTGGGGTCCTACTGGTGCGTCAAACAAATTTTTTGATCTGAGCGGGTTCGACATTGGGCTGACAAAAACTTTCTGCAGGACGTTTTCGTTTCATAGCTGAAACCTGTTGTAACGGTTGTTGTCGACTGTCTTTACAACAGCTAGGAAGCGCTTTGCTGGCAAGGCGTGCGCCTAATCAGATCTCTCTGTGGGGTTGCAGAAAGTTTTCGTCTGTACTTCTTTTCTCGGGTTCCTACCGGTGCGTAAAACATTATTTTTTGATCTGTGAGGGTTCGACATTTGGCTGGCCAAAACTTTCTGCAAGACGTTTTCGTTCCACAGCTGGAACCTGTCGTAATGGTTGTTGTCGGCTGTCTTTACAACAGCTAGGAAGCGCTTTGCTGGCAAGGCGTGCGCCTAATCAGATCTCTCTGTGGGGTTGCAGAAAGTTTTCGTCTGTACTTCTTTTCTCGGGTTCGTACCGGTGCGTCAAACATTATTTTTTGATCTGTGAGGGTTCGACATTTGGATGGCAAAAACTTTCTGCAAGACGTTTTCGTTTCACAGCTGGAACCTGTCTTAATGGTTGTTGTCGGCTGTCTTTACAACAGCTAGGAAGCGCTTTGCTGGCAAGGCGTGCGCCTAATCAGATCTCTCTGTGGGGTTGCAGAAAGTTTTCGTCTGTACTTCTTTTCTCGGGTTCGTACCGGTGCGTCAAACATTATTTTTTGATCTGTGAGGGTTCGACATTTGGATGGCAAAAACTTTCTGCAAGACGTTTTCGTTTCACAGCTGGAACCTGTCGTAACGGTTGTTGTCGGCTGCCTTTACAACAGTTAGGAAGCGCTTTGCTGGCAAGGCGTGCGCCTAATCAGATCTCTCTGTAGGGTTGCAGAAAGTTTTCGTCTGTACTTCTTTACTCGAGCTCGTACCGGTGCGTAAAACATATTTTTTCATCTGTGAGGGTTCGACATTTGGCTGGCAAAAACTTTCTGCAAGACGTTTTCGTTTCACAGCTGGAACCTGTCGTAACGGTTGTTGTCGGCTGCCTTTACAACAGTTAGGAAGCGCTTTGCTGGCAAGGCGTGCGCCTAATCAGATCTCTCTGTGGGGTTGCAGAAAGTTTTCGTCTGTACTTCTTTACTCGAGCTCGTACCGGTGCGTAAAA